GACCACTTCTCCCTTTGGAAGAACAACAGCATCATCGGATCCGTTGGTGTCTACATCGGTGACCTCGACAACGATAGGCGCCCCGCTCACCAGCCCACGGTCGACCACTTCCAAGAGCTCGTTCGCTCGCTCGTCCAAGCCGCTGCTGACTGCGTCCTCGACGACGATCGTCTCGCCTTCATTGCCGGACACCTTGACCAATACATCTGTTACGGTTTCAACGACTACGAGTCCTGCTTCCGCTCTTACTGGGCCCAGATCAAGGACATCCGCTACAACAAAGGCGTCTTCTACGCAGACTTCCAGCTTCGCGCAGTCACCTACTGCTCCGTTACACCCGCTCCCCTTGGACAAGTCCGTTCCATTGGCGAGATCATCCGCACGTTCACAGCCAAGCCCTTCACCTACGTCGTTGCCCAACAAACCCCCGGTGTCAGCGCGTGAATACTGGTCGCGTCTTCTACCAAAGACCCCATCGGACGATCGTAGGAGTCAGCTCAACAGCTGGGCATTGCTGCTCACGGATCAGGAGCGTCGTTCGCTTGTTGGTTCATATCTTGCTTGGGGATCTCATATCGTTTACTCTTCTGAATCGTCTTCTGCTACCGCGCTTCGTTACATTTATTGGGGTCGCATCGTTCGCTACTCCCGTGTACCACCACATCGCCATCACCCTGAGATTGTACCCGGTCTTTACATAGACGAGTACTCTCACGTTACTTCTCAGCTACCCTCTTCTCCGTTCCCTCACCCAGTTCGCACCGGACTCCGCCCCGTATCGTCTGTTCCCCGCAGAAAACATCGCAAATCCAATAAAAAGACTCGCGTCCCGGACCTGTAACTTGTATATCACTATCAACTGTTGATCAACCATGACGCAACAAGGTCAAACCGGACCTGGACAGACATCAGGAGGCCCAGGCCCTCAGCTAGGCCCTCAGCTTCATGAAGAAGAAGAAGTTGACGCTCAACTCGGTGATGAGGGCGCACCCATTATGAACGAAGAAGATAGCGATGAGGAAACCGAGTCAGAAGCATCGTCTGCAGGAGGATCTGCTGCTAGCGCGCAAGATCTTCGAGATATACTAGCAGGGATGAATGAAAGGAACGAAGGAGTTCAGAAGGATCTAGCCCAACTGCTAGCCCTTATGATCAAGGACAAGAGGCGCGAACACAAGACGGAAACTCGGAAAGCTAGCGACTTCAAAGGCACAGAGACAGCTAGAGAAGCCCGTAACTGGCTTCAGAGCATGGAATTCTATTTCGACAATCGCAGCGTTCAAAGCGATTCCGAAAAGATCACCACCACACTGTCTTACTGTGTTGGAAAAGCTGCCGAGTTCGCCAGGCGTACCAAGGAGGAAAAGGACAAAGGCGATATCAAGACATGGAAGCAGTTCAA